CCAAGTTTGCGTTGCATCGATCACTTGTAATATAGTATATGCCGCAAGTCATACATTCAGTCGCGTAAATTTAACAATCGAGATTTAAAAATTACTAAAATCTTCCACCACGGAGTCGAGCGATTGACGAATCTCGTTGGCTCTACCAAAGAGTTCCGGCACGTTCGTCGTTCATACGAAAGCGAACACTCGGACGTCTCAACGAGAGAGAGAGAGAGAGAGAGAGAGAAAGAGGTTTTTGCAGGAACAGCAAGTTTCCAGGAAACTTGCTCGCGGAGCAATCCCAACACAGAGAGGATCGTCGGTTCTCTGTGCGCGATTCAAAGCTCTCTGACTCCATACCCTTTTCCTCGCATTTCCGATTCACTGTGTGGTGGCTACCGTCCATTCACAAACTCTCTCTCTCTCTCTCTCTCTCTCTCTCTTTCGCTGGAAATGTACAATGGCCAGCCAGTAACTCTTGGCAACGTCTGTCCTCCGTGCTCGGTTATCTAGGCAAATCCTCCCGGTGGAATACACCGGCGTTCGGGTTTCATTGAGCCCGAAGCCACCGGAGCAATTTCGTGGCGGCATTGACTGCTGCGAGGCGACACTTGGCCGATTCAATTGGCAGGAAGCCCGCGCTGTTTAACTCCTCCGTCTCTCTCAATGAGATTATCACCGGCCACCTCGAGCAGGCTAGCCTGACCACTCGGTCGCATTGTCACGTTTTAGAAACGTTCGAGGGCTCGGTTCACCGTGGTCGGTTCACCCTTTATGTCGCTATCGATCCGCAACGTCTCAAGTGGATCCTCCCTCAGTGCCAGGTGATACCAGGTGCATTCCAATGGATTTAGGATAAAGAGTAACTTCTCGTACTTTTAACAAGCTTTCTCTCTCACCCTGGGTAGGTAAGAATTTTTGGAAGAGATCACCGAAGAAGAAAGGAACGTTGTGTTAAAAATAAACTTTGTCCGTAGAAGAATTGCCGAGCCCGAGTTAGAAAACAAGAAGCCGAGTTGTTAAGTCCACGATCGAGGAAGGAAGTGCCAGTGCTGTAACTTTCTATCAATTAGAAACTCCTAACTGTCTTAACGAGGAGTCGGTTCTCCCGGCCTCCGAGACGAGACGAACTTCAACCATCGAAATTCCAGGGAAGAAGTTAACAACCTCGGATTCTAATATCAAGCTTAACGAACGAATTCTGATTCGCCTGTGTTGGCGAAGTGCATCGGCAAGCGAAGATAACGGAAGGTTACACCGAGGAAGCGAGTGGAAAGACGAGGCTGGGTTGGGCTGGATTTCGTTTGCTCGTCGTTAGCGCTACTTTTCGAGACTACCGCGTTCGGTTTACATAGGAGAAGACGACGACGGAGGGCTCTAATGGAGCACAAAGTCGAGGCAGCGGTAGCTATTTATCGCTGGCCTCTCTTGTTTTTAGCGTTCTTTAGCACCTTGATCGACTGACCGTATAATCACGGTCGTACGAACTGGAATAACGACCGTTCCACACACGTTCCTCGCTAAATGAGTTAGTGTTCCGTGTTCCTTCTTTGCTTCTCCTGCCTCTTGTTTTGTTTTTTCTTCTTCTTCTTCTTCTTTTCTTTTCTCGTCGAGCGCAAGCGTAGCAACCGGCACGTTCTGTTCAAGTACATTGCTACACGTTTATCGATTTCGAGCTAGTTTTGAGACCCTCGTGTTTGCGGAGTATTGTCATGGTATAACGTATATGCCTATCGCCACCTTTGGCCTTTCAGTCCAGATGTTTCTATCTATACCGTCTTTGGCTGTGGATCACGATGGAAAATTTACCGAGAGGAAAATAGAGGCAGTGAAATTCTCCGTCGCTCGGCTATTTTGGAAAATATAATAAAATTTTAGAAATGGATGAAATTGGAGGGAATTTAATCGCCTAAAATGAAACTTCGAAAATGTGTCGAACAACGTATTTTTGAAATGTCAGAGTCGTACAAATACGGCCGTATTGACAGCTGCGCAAGCGAGAATGTTTCAATGATTCGTTAACATTGGAAGAGAAACGATGACTGATTAATAAGCACGAAACTGGGCCAGCTTGTGACGCAATCCTCGTCCTCTGATTCGTTTCGGCTGGCTCGATTTCAGATGAACCGCCAAGAAATTCTCCCAGATCCTCAAAATGAAAGAGAAAAATGAAATTCTTCCTATATAATCCTCAAGCCTATATTCACGATTAAAATCCTCTCATCCCTCTTGGAACTCCCGCGTAATAACCGCGAGTTATCTCGCTCGAATAACGTATTCGCGAGAGTGCAAAGATCCCGGAGCTCTTCCCGCCCAATTACGAATTACCGATCGTCGAGCAGCTCAATCTGGCCGATCGTCGGGTGCAGTTTGCTTGCAGTTTCGTTGCAATTCGGTGCGGCGTTATCGCGCGCACGCATCTATACTTACACACACACACACACACACACATCGCGTGGACGTTTGAGTTGACTCTTATCATAACGAATGTGCGTGTCGGCCGAGGATTAATCGATTTAACACGATTCCCCGAAGCGGCGACGGATGTGTTAACGAGTGCCGGTCGCGCCAGATAACATCGCGGACACGGTTCCCGGTCGCCGTTCACCGAATTATAATTGGTCCGTAATTAATGACACTGTTCGATTATTGACAGGTGGAGCAAGACGAGATCGGGGCCCCCGAGACGCGCGAGTTACGCGGCCGCGCCCCCTTTTTTCAGCCTCCGCTTATTTTCAGACTTAATTACCTGCGATGTTACGGCATAATCGCGGCCGATCGGCAACTCCTCCCTGGCTCCCCTGTTTTCGTACGCTATCGATCCACCGAGATATCAAGTACGCGACGTGTTATGTATACCACCGTGCACGTACCTTTCGCCGATGTAACAGGCTACCTGATTTCTCGTCTCGCACCGTCCGAATTATTCGCGGAATTTATTCGCTGATAAAAGGAATATCGCCGTGTCACGGCTTCCGGTTTTA